CATTGGCACAGCAGTGTTAACTGATGCACAGGCCTTATTCAGATACTGCTCCAGTTTTCCCACCAGTGTCCTTTTCCTGTTCCAAGATCCTGTCTGGGCTCCCACGTTGCATCTTTTTTCTCCATAGCCTCCAGTCTGAGACAGTCCCTCGATGTGTCTTTCCTCATCCGTCCTCTTACACGAATTATGGCTGGTGAGGTTGACGGCAGTGTCTCCACTGTGAAGTAATTTGGCTTCCCTTTTGTAGTTAATATATTGGGGCGATAAGCTTGAAACTGTGGATTTTTTAAACTTTGTTTGATTAAGTAAATCTTAGATGCAGGTTAGTGGACACAGACCTAAGTCATTTTAATTTAGGAATCATGAAGTACCATTCAGAACTTAAACAAACAAATGAGTACAGGATCTTCACATCCATGAATAGATTGTCATTTCACTGACTTCTTCATTTAAAAAAGGAGGGTCAGGGCTTCCCTGGTGGCGCAGTGGTTGAGAGTCCACCTGCCGATGCAGGGGACACGGGTTCGTGCCCCGGTCCAGGAGGATCCCACATGTCACGGAGCAGCTGGGCCCGTGAGCCATGGCCGCTGAGCCTGCGCGTCCGGAGCCTGTGCTCCGCAACGGGAGAGGCCACAGCAGTGAGAGGCCTGTGTACCGCAAAAATGAATGAATGAATGAATGAATGAATGGGTCTTTGAGAAGAGTCTGTGTCTTGATGTCACTCCTGTGCCGGTGCTGAGTAGGTGCTACCCGTACAGTGCCCTAATGGGAGCTGGAGCTGTGCTGCCCTGCTTCTCGGGGGTACATGGACCACAGGAGCACTTCCTGTTTCAGGAAACAGACTCCCTCAGGAATAGAATAAAGCCCTCCTCTTTGGAGGACCTCCCTCCATGGCAGGCACTTTCACAGATCCTGGAGCCAAATTGGAATCTGGGGCAGTAGCTTTAGTGAGGAAGGAAGTATACCTGTTTGCTTTGGATTGGGAGGCTTTTGTGAAGGGAGGTGGGGCTGAGGTGGGCCCAGGAGTTGCTTCTCTTGAGGTGATGATTAAAGGCCCTGTTTGAAGTTACGTTCAGATTTATGTTTGTTTCTGTTTATTTATTACTTTAAAGCCATTTCAGGTTTTCAACCAAGTTACTAGAAGCACTTTTTACCAAGTTGAATTTCCATCCTTGAGTAGCTGAGTCAAATTAATAAAATGGAATTTCTTAATAAGAATGAATTATTAAGTAAAATGGAAGTGCTGGGCTAGGAAAGCAGTTGATGCAATTTGTTTTCAAAGCCTTAAAAATGCTGCAGTGTTCATAGATCAAGGGCTGGCCGCAGTGCCCAAGCGTGGGGCGTTAATTTTCTTTCCTAGAGGATTTCAGGTTCACAGGATATCAGAAGTGCTGACTTGGCAACGAAATCCCATTTGTAACATGTTAGGTTAGGAAACAGATTGATTTATACGTTGATGTAATGGGTCAAGGCACAGTGTGTGCCTCAGAAAATGGAGAGCACATTAAATAAGAGCATTTTCAAAGGAAAGAAGCACAAACATTACAGGAAAAAGCAATCCTGTTATACGCTAGGTAAGGTTGGGGTATGTTTGGTTAGTTGACCCCTAGACGTGGTCCGCAGAGGCTTTTTATATTCCAGATGATACCTTCTTGAGAGTCTCTGATGGCCACAAGGATTAATCTTTCTGAACTCAGAAATGAATCACGGCAGCATATGAGCTGTCTGGACTGATTCCAGTTACCCTCCTTTTCCTTGGTGGGAACTGATGTGAGGAGCTGTGGCTGCCAAGCTGCCTCTTCCTGCTACTTTAACCTCTGGTATTTTAGATCCTCTTTAGGGAAGGCACTGTTGACCATCTCTGCAGAAAGATCAAATGCACTTACCACCGATGTATTGACCTCAGTGGTTGACCCGTAAACTGAGCATTCGTACAGTTGGAACTCTTGTGGCCTTTCAGCCAACAGCCATAGCGAGCGACACGTGGACTGTCTTCTTCAATTTTTTTTTTTTTTTTTTTTTTTTAGCCGTGCCATTAATTTATGTATCGTCTGTGGCTGCTTTATACTATAAAATCAAACACTGAAAAGTTGCAATAAAGACTATATGCACGGCAAGGCTAAATTATTTACTACCTGAGCTTTTTTTTTTTTTTTTTCTGCGGTACGCGGGCCTCTCCCTGCTGCGGCCTCTCCCGTTGCGGAGCACAGGCTCCGGACGCGCAGGCTCAGCGGCCATGGCTCACGGGCCTAGCCGCTCTGCGGCATGTGGGGTCTTCCCGGACCGGGGCACGAACCCATGTCCCCAGCATCGGCAGGCAGAGTCTCAACCACTGCGCCACCGGGGAAGCCCACTTGCACGGTTTTGACTGTGGCCTGGGTGAGCTCATGTAATTGACTGATGCTGTTTCTTACCTGTATTCATTTTTGGAACTAAAGAGGCAAATGCCTCCCTCCCCCGCCTCTGTACTTCTGAAAGATTAGATACCACCCTGACATCCTATTTAATGTCAAAATATACCAGTCTATAGAGAGAATTTGAAAGGATTGCTCAGCGTCTTTCACGTTTAACTGTGGTAGTTCATTTATAGCAGGTTTAAGAAATACTTTCCTTCTAGCCTGTAGATTTGGCTTTCTTGCTTACATATTTATCATGTCTTCCTGGATTTTCTTTGTTCGTTTCTGTCTGAGCTTTTGAAGAGTAGGAAGGAAGGAATTTGCTGGAACACTGGTTTCCGTGCACAGAGCATCCCTGGGGTTTGTTTGCCTTTGTCTCTGTATGTACCACTTAATGTACTGTGTGCCCATTTCCCTCTGTATCATAACCCAAGTTTCTAGCCTTAATCCTTAGATATGCCTCCCAGAAGAAGAATGGCCAGTAGAAGAGGCATTTTTGTGCACATCTCCAGCTCAGTGTGAGAATTAAGTGCCCTTGTCATGTGCATCTTTATACCTTTTAATGATCTGTTTGAATTAAACGCCATTAAGGTACTATGTATACCTTCTTTCCACAGATACCTTTAAATGTTTTTTCTTTCTTTGGGGGAGACAGGACTTCACACCGGTCTGTAGCTTCACATGCAGTTATTGTGAATGCGCAGGATCTGTGGCTTCTACTTTAATAGATGATTATTCATCACAGTGGGGTGACAGTCTATTCTACTTCATAAAGTTGCTGACTGTTCTCCTCGTTGGATTTAACTGAGGTGTTTTTCAACCCTGACTGATCTTGGCGACATTTTAGATCCCGATTAGCTTTCTCCCAGCTATCCAGCAAGCGTTCGTGCTTCCTTCTCTCGCGCTACTGGAAAGCAGGCTAATTTTAATAAGCTCCTAAGCAAAACGTGTAGGTGGTAAATTTGTCCTAGAAGAAGATCGGGATGTATTTCAGAATCAAACGTAGGCTCCTAGTTGGAAGGACCGTTCATGTCTGTGTAACCAGTCCATCAGCACAAATGCAGGAGACTTGCCTGGAAAGCACACAGTTTTCCATATGTTTTAAAAGTCAGGGAATTCCCTGGTGGTCCAGTGGTTGGGACTCTGTGCTTTCACTGCCAAAGGCATGGGTTTGAACCCCGGTCGGGGAACTAAGATCCCACAAGCTGCAGGGTACGGCAAAAAAAAAAAAGTCAAATCTACTTTTTCTTGTTAATAGGAAAACCATTTAATACCAACGCTCTTTGCTCCTTTTGAAAAGATCATAATAGGCCAGATAGTCTAACCCGACCCCTCAAGTTTTAACATTTTAAAAAGATGTTTAATTTTTGTTTTGAAAGCACTTACCCATTAGGAGAGACCACAGAACTTTATTGTGAATGTAACCATCAATATTGGTATATCTTTAGATGCAGGGATGCCTGTGTTTCTTCTGGTGCACGAGACTTTGTAAGAGCCTCACTGTCATCGTACGTAAATGTTTTTTCTCACCTGTAATGTGTTAGCTATTGATGGCTACGGATAGTTGATTTTTTTCCTAACAAGAGATAAAATTGTTCATGAAATCCCTTTTAGTGTTCTCTTTCCATGCACGACGCCATTGCTCACTGAGTTATGCAAGCCGTGCTGCCTCTTGGTCACCCCCCAGCCATCGTCACCCAGTCTTGCCTGCATTGCTGTCTGCCGGTGCTGCCTTACCCAAGTACTGTCATCTTCCAGCTCCCTGAGCCATCCCCCTGCCTACAGAAAACATCAGAGCTGCATCTGAAAAATATTAACTCTGTACTTAGAACCCTCAGCACTCCATCCTTTCTTGGTCTACAGACCATCCAGTCTTGACCATGTGTGCCACCCACCCTTCCCTTAGACCCTCCACAGACTCACAGTCTACATTCTCCCCCAGTGGGGATGGCCAAAGCCACTCCAGTGTCACAGTTCAGGAAGCTTCCCCATCACCTCCTACCCAAGCCTAAGTCACATTCCCTTTTTGTTTTGTATACTCCTTCAGCTCTATGTTCTTTTCCTTCGTGAGACATCTGGGAATCTTTTCATGTGAGAATTGACTCTTGAACTAGACCATAAGCCCCAAGAGGGCAGGGGCCGTAACCTTTTGCTCAGCCTTGTGTCCTGAGCATTTAGCACGTTGCTGTGCAAAAATAGTAGTTGCTCAACAAAACTTTGTCATGTAAGTGAATTGAGTAAAATTGCTGGAACTCTCGCCGTTCTATACTTTTGTGTTTTGGTGTATTAAGGAATGGAAAGTGGGTTTGCTTGTATTAGAGGGGACTGCAGGTGGATTATGGGTTCCCAAGTCAGAAGTATCTAGATGGGGGGTGGTGGTTACAGTTCCCACGCACATTTCTCCCTGATTATATATGTCCAAAGGTCATTTTTTTATTCTGGCTTAGCTCTTGGGAAAAGGATTTGTTTATGAAGAAAAAATAGTAAGTAATGAAGATTTTTTTAAAAGCTCAGTTCTCCTGTCACAAACTGCTAAGTGACTGTCCCTCCGTGCCAGCTTCTTGGGAGTGAACCTGGAATTTATTTTCCCTTCGATAGGCCCTCGCAGCCAACGCGGGAACAGGGTTTGCTGTTGCTGAGCCTCAGATTGCAATGTTTTGTGGAAAGCTAAATATGCACGTGAACATTCAGACGGGGAAGTGGGAACCTGACCCCACAGGCACTCAGAGCTGCTTTGGAACAACAGAAGAAGTCCTCCAGTACTGTCAGGAGGTAAGCGCCGCGCTGCCGGGAACTTACACGTTTCTGGGTCACGTTTGAACCTGTTTACCTCAGAAATAGGCGCTCTGTCATTCTGCTGCTTTGATCTAAGACCAAGCTGGTAATGATGGGGGCAGCAGGCATCTGTTCTGAGTGTGCACTTGTCCTGGGTGTGCTGTGAGCTCTCTGTCCTTTGTGGACGGAACACTGCAGAAGCTTGGCCGGGCCTTAGAAGTGCAGCCTGGTTCCCTTGGCTTCCCACGTGTTATGGGAAGCTGTGAAACAAGCCCAGTGTCACGTGTGTGCTCGTGTTTTGCACTTGCTGGTGGAAGCCACCAGTATCATAAGGGATTATCTCATGTCTGACTCAACAGACTTTTTGGGTCAACGCTTGACGTAGAAAAGCATATGAGATGTTTTAATTTCTTTACCAAAACTAGCCTTTGGGGTCAGGGTTGGAATATTATTCTATAATTTCATTAACACACACTTCCACAGACTTGCCTCTTGAATGTTTTAGTTCTTGAACTCAGCTATTTACACACACCCTACAAGTGGACTTGATACCTAATAGACTTGTTTGGGGCTGAACGCTTGCTGCTTGTGTAGGTCTTTTTTCAAAGAGAATGTGTTAGAAGTGGTCCAAAATCTACCTGTCAAAAGAAAGCTAACAGTTACAGTATCTCTTTGCTTGATTAGTTCCGTTGGAACCAGGCAGCAGAGGGGACTTCAGATTTACGTAGGACGATGGGGAAGCTGAGCACGCAGACTCTCGTCCTGGCTCACCAGCAAGTGTTCATCTTTTACGGACAAAGCCGGTCTACTGTGTGTATTTCCTCTTCCCTTGCAGATGTATCCAGAACTACAGATCACAAATGTGATGGAAGCAAACCAGCCAGTCAGCGTGGACAGCTGGTGCCGGAGGGACAAGAAGCAGTGCAAGACTCACATCGTGATCCCCTTCAAGTGTCTCGGTGAGCGTCCTGGAGCACCTCTGGGTTACTTCTCAGGAATGCGGGCTCCCCAGGTTTACATTTCATCTTCTCCTGGCTCACAGTGAGATGTCGTCATCTGTCAAGAAGCCAAGGGCTGCAGGAACTTATTGGGGGACTGTCTTTTGAATACTCATGGCTTTCTGGTGTTGATAAGTGACTTGTCTTTGATGGTCACTAACTCCACCTCCCATCATGGGCGTCCTCTGTTTTTTCAGGGTGAGCCTTTTCCACACCCCTGAGTGAGCGTGCTGCCCTCGGAGTGGTCCAGCTTCGTTCACCCTGAGAGTTTGAAAGTACTGTTGATGGTCCTGGCATCAGTAGTACCGAAGCAGCCGAGGGGTGGTCTTTTGTTCCCTTTCTTTGCCCTGCACACATTTTGCAAGCGCCGAAATCCTGTATCGTTAGCCAGACCAAACCTGTGGCAGTTTTCAGAAGCCGAGGAAGTGAGTCGTAGCTGCCTGTAGACAGTCAGGGATGCGTCAGCCAGGCCCTGTGCCACCTGCCTTACTGAAGGGTCAGCTGATAAGGGTGTTTATGACTCTGTGTGTTTCTGTTAGCAGTCGGACCTAACTCAAGTGCAGCCATAACATTTTATTACCCAGAAGTAGAATCGCTGCTCCAAATGCCCTTTTAGTGAATGTGCTCATCCTGACCACTGATCATTGACACATCTGAGTTACGTTCGCGCGTCTGTTGCCTGGCTGACTCAGGAACAGATTTGGTCGTAGAAACTTAAAAGGGCGAAACGATCAATTTTAGATGATCCATGATAGGACTGACATAGATGGAGCACTAACATAGCCTGGCTAGTTCTGCGGGTGTATTTAATTTTAACCACTAACTTAACCTGTTCCCCTCCCTCCTTCATTAAAACCTTTCTGGGACTTCCCTGGTGGTGCAGTGGTTAAGAATTCGCCTGCCAATGCAGGGGACATGGGTTCAAGCCCTGGTCTGGGAAGATCCCACATGCCGCGGAGCAACTAAGCCCGTGCGCCACAACTGCTGAGCCTGCGCTCTAGAGCCCGGGAGCCACAGCTACTGAAGCCCGTGGGCCTAGAGCCCATGCTCCACAACAAGAGAAGCCACTGCAATGAGAAGCCTGCGCACCACAACGAAGAGTGGCCCCCGCTCACCGCAACTAGAGAAAGCCCGCGCACAGCACCGAAGACCCAGTGCAGCCAAAAATAAATAAATAAATAAATTTAAAAACAACAACAACAACAAAAACCTTTCCTAACATGAACTCATTGCTTTCTCATTCTCACAGGTAGCAAAGTAACAGGAAGAGGCAGCAGTTGAATAACAGTATTTACCGTAGCAGTTACTTTGTTTTAAAAGTATTGAGTACGGGGGAAAAGAGGACAGGTGTGTGCTTAACACCATTTACTTAAAACGGAGCCCCATGCAGTAGTGTGAGGCTTGTGAATGGTTTTGTGTGGTGTGGTTTAAAGATGTTCTTTCATTCCCTTTGGCTTTAAGAAATCTCTGAGTATGAGGTTTCATTCATTCTCTGTAAAATTCTCAAACTTAAGAGAGTACCCTTGAATATTCATACATGATAGATAGTACCTAGCAATCATTTTCTTCCTTTTGCACTGTCATTACCAGAGGCTTTGTGGCCTGGTCTTCCCCGTCCTGCATGTTCCTTGTCACTTGTTGGCTCCACTACCCACCCAGGACTCTGAGCTGGAGATCTGGGAGACCTGTATCTCCCCACACCCAGCCAGTTCTCAAGGTAGCCTGATTTTTACCTCTTAAGAATGGCTTATAACCATGGTTCCCAGACTGTGCACAAAGGCACCCCAGGGCACTGGGGATATTTCTGATTTTCAGGGAAAGCGTGTCAGACATTGTGAACTAGCTGGAGGCGTTCACAGTTTCAGCATCAGCTCATCCCGTTCCTTTCGATGACCTCATGTCTTTGTGGGGCTGTTTCTTAATGGTTTCTGTGAGGAAAAGCCAGCATTGCACCAGAATTGCTGATGAAATGGGGGTGATGGTGCCGAGTTTACTGCCATGCAGGAGAGTCTCTGCAGTGCCCAGCAGGCACAAGGTGTCAGACACAGGTGCTTTTTACTAAGTGGTCGCCCTGACGACTTAACTTTTCGGCACCCCTTTGGCCTGGGGGGTGCTGTGAAAAAATTCCTGGGACACCCAGAGTACTGTGACTGGGGAAACGTTGGGAACCTCCGGCTGGTCCGTCCGAGTTCCCTGCTCTAGCTCAGTCTTTTATCATTTCCTTCCTGGACTGTGAGAACCGCTTCTGCGCGTTTCTCAGTTCTGTTCAGTCCGTTGCCCTCCCTGATCCAAAATGAAGACTGAACTGTCTCTCCTGCACATGAAACCCTTCAGTAGCTCTATCTTCTTCACCTAAAAGGCCAGGTGTAAAGCGCCTTTAGCACAGTTTGGAAACTGCATGGTGTGGCCCTTGCTTAGCTCTGCTCCATGCCCCCAACCCCTGCTCCATCCTCCCCGCCCCTGCTCCATGCGCTCCTGCCACGTGCAGTCCAGCTCCCACTGGAGTGACTTTATGTACTCACTTTGCCTGGCGAGTTCTCCTTTTCACACTCATCTCAGGGACACCTCCTTTAAAGGAAGCCTTTCCTGCTGCTCTACTTTCTGTCTCGACGTCCAGGTTTCTCAGCTCCTCCTTGTCGCCACCCGTGCCCCATCACCCTGCACGATGCCGTCTGTTGATGTGTCTTTCTCCAGCTACACTCTGAGCACCTTGGGAGGAGGGACACAGCTTTAGTCTTCTCTGTCCCGCAGTCAAGACGGTGCCTGGAACTAGGATGCTGTCTGTTGATTACAAGACCACTACCATAGCTGGTGCACAGCGAAAATGTTCTTTTCTAAATGTTAGTTTGAGTTTTTCAGTGCCAGAAAACCAGACGATGCATGATATTGTCATTAACTAGATGCATAAAACAATTTGACCATAAACCATTCAATACCTTCTTTGCATTGTGGTCACTGAATAATGCATAATGCAGTCTTCAGTGTTACTAAATTCAGACAGTTGTTACTGTGTTTACAGCAGCATCCATTTGGACAACTTCTTAACCAGGAAGGAGAGCTACCTGTTGGTATTTTTAAATAAATAAAACAGTTGCCTGAGCCTAAGCTAGTAGGGGACCAGGTGACTGGAGTTTAGGGAGGTTAGGAAAAAAGTACTGCCAATTCCTTGTAATCATTTGAGAAGCAGAAGATTGTAATGTCTCTCTGTCCCCGTCCCCACCCCTTTAGAGTCCCCAGGCACTGGTTGATTATCAGCACCACTTTCTCTTTACCATAGGCTCCTTAGAAAGCCTTTTGGTTCTAGTCTTTCAGGGTTACTTTTGCCTTTTTAACTTAAAAATAATACGGGACTTCCCTGGCGGTCTAGTGGCTAAGATGCCGCGCTTCCAGTGCAGGGGGCATGGGTTCGATCCCTGGTCAGGAAACCAAGATCTCGCATGCCATGCGGCATAGCCAAAAATAGGAAAAAAAAAAAATTAAAAATAATAACAGTTTTAAAATAATTTCAAGTTTACAGAATGGTTGCAAAAATAGTACAAAGACCTTCCATTAAATCCTTTCCTCAGATTTCAGATTTTCCAACTGTTAACATTTGATTAATACGGTAAAATTAATCTTAACCACTTGTATCTCCCCGCAGGTTTTGTTTTTGTTTTTGTTTTAAATCATTTAAGTTGTAGACATGGTATCCTTTTATCCCTTAATACTTCCACGTATATTTTTCATAAACAAGGACATTCTGCTATGTAACTGTAGTACAGCCGTCAAAATCAGGAAATTATCATTGATATAATATCTAATCTACAGACCCTGTTCAAGTTTCACCTGTTGTTCCAACAACACCAGGATCTAATTCATTGTTTCAACGTTGCATTTAGTTCTCTGTGTAGCGTTTCCTTGTCTTTCTTAACTTTGGTTTTTAGAGTACAGGCCAGTGACTTTGTAGAATGCAATTTGGGTCTGTCTTAGGATCCTTTTGACTTGTGTGTTTTTGAGGGCCCTGTCACAGATGTGTTCTTCTCTCTGAGTCATCTTAGGAATTGCATGATGTCACTTTGTTTCATGACCGGTGATAACTTTTATCACCTGGCTAAGATGGTGTCTGCATTCATTTATTCATTTCATTATGGACTCACTGTCCAGATTGGTCCAGTGGGACCCCCCTTCATGCTGACTCCTGTGTCTTTTTGCTATGTCCCTATTATTCTTTGAAAGCTTCCTTACTTTCTGGTACAAAAAGATGCTCCAGGCTCATCCTGTGTTCCCTACCCCACCCCTGGAGTGAGCCATTTCTCCAAGAAGAAATGGTTTTATTTAGTGGGGAATGGTATTTAGGAACCAAAATCTGGGTATTAGGTGTGCTTACTGCTATTATGCTGTTATTGCTTCTAGGCCCACTCAGCAGACAGACCTATGAACTATATTTATATACACATATTCATGCACATATAAATCTATATTTCTATACATGTGGATATTAAAAGCAGTGAGCTCATATTGATGATACCTCCAATCCCATTATCCTCAGTATATTTATTTGCTCAGTATTCCCTGTAATCAGTCTCTCTGCTTCTTAAAAACAGATTTGTTGAGATATATTTCACATACTATATAATTCATCCATTTTAAAGTGTACTGTTGAATGGTTTATAGTATATTCACTGAGTTACACAACCATACACAATTCTTTTAACATACAAACTACTAAAAATTAATCCAGTAAAAAGCAAGCATCCTATATATTTTATTCACCAGAAATAACCACAGTGAGTCCTTTTATACATGTTAAGGTGAATACCACGTGTTGCAGTAAAGAGATGGTCATAGTGTGATTAGCTTCAGCCCTGAAACCCCCTTTAAGATATTACTGCCCAGCAAACCCAAAGCACAGGCAGGCCAAAGGGCAAGGAGATGGGAAAACAGGCTCTATCTAATTGGTTGGGTACCCGTATTAATTGATT